GTTCTTGATCAACCAGTATAGGGTCTCTTAGATTAACCCCAGAATTTAAAACAAACAAAAAAAAATATCTCAAAGAGTTTGAATATATAAAACATCACTTAAAAAAATGGGAAAAAAACAATTTGGTTACAGATGCTGTTTGTAATAATTATCCAATCAGTCTTTAATAGATTTTATAGAAATATTTAAATGCTTTCTCAATAGTTTGAAAGTCCAGACCAGAACTAAAACGGGACAATATTTAAAAATGAATGTTATTTCATTAAATAGTCTTTAGCAAAATGTAACTTTAGAATGGGGGATGTGCAAATGCTGACCAAACTTTTTAGATCATAAATTTTGCAATTTACATCCATTTCAAGTCTGTTTTTATGTTGGTTTATCTCATGAAATATAAAATAAAGAGAAGTTTTCTTTAATGTGATACATGGAAAAACTTTCCAGTAGGAAACATACTCCTGCATGAACCAGAGAACAACTCTAAAGTCCTCAGATTCACTCCTGAAAGTCAGTGTAGATCAGACAAAGTATAAAGTCATTTCACTTCTACACAATACAATGAGGCAAGACTGTGCAATGAGCCTCATCCAGCCAGCAAACTTCTTCAAACCAACACATGAGCTCTAAGCCATGCAATTTTCATGTTGGTATCAGCTGCCTGTTGCATTTAGAGTCACAGTGTTGAGACGGTCATTTACAAAGAACTCACAGACTGGAGAAGATAACAGGAACATTTGATGCTATGTGAATATAAATGACCCCCAATATTTACATCAAGTATTCTAACTCTCATTTAGTACCTATTCTGCTGCTAAAGAGAAACTTTAAGTTAATTTAGATCTCCTTTTAAATAGACAATACACAACCTTAAATAATGAATACACTGAAAAATACTTTTATCAAATAGTTTTCTAAAAATTTTAATTTTCTATCCATTTAGTATATTCTTTTTCATTTATATCAGTTGGCGTACATTTCTAATTCAAGTAAAGTGGCTTGTCTTACTGCTGCAGCAGAGTGCCAGCGCTCGCAGACATTTAACAGACTGAGATGGAAAAACCAAATTCTCTGACAATGATAACTGTGCCTTTTTCATTTTCTACACTGCCAATCATTTAAACATCATATCCTGGAATATTTTCCCTTTAGGGATAAGGTAGTAACTAATGACTGCCAGAAATGTGCAATAGCAAAAACTTTCCTAAAAAAAAAAGTTCACTCTGTTAGAGAACTACTGTACTTGGTTCATTATATCACACTGGTGAATAAATCATTGTTAGAACCATAAATTAAAGGGAACATATCCACATACACTGGCTGTGGTAGGGCAAATATGTCTTTTTCTCTCTCCAGTTAGTTCTTATACCCTCTTTCTTTCTCACCACCCTATCCCTCTCCATGTCCGTTGTATACAATTTTACTCCCTATATAATCTACAAGTATTGTAGATTATATAGTGTTTAATCTACAAGTATTAAGCGAAACCATATGGCAACAGGTATAATGGTGTGTTTGTGAAAGCAAAGCTGTTGGGCTTTCATCTACCTTTCATCTAGACACCTTTTCCCAGAGCGATGTTGGCAAAACGGGACACAAAAAAAGAAAAAATAATAAAGCTTTTCATTGGTTAAATATCAGGCAAATATTGATCCACTAACCTTTGATCATCAGTTTTTTCTTTAGAAGAGATGTTTGTTTCCAAAGGAGGAGAAATGTTTTCATCAAATGGATTAGTGGAGGTGATTTCCACAGGAACTCTAAGTTTTAATTTTGTTCCACTTATCTCTTTGTCTTTTATTTTGCCTTCTTTTCCTTTTGTCAGATTCTCCTGCCTCCTTTCTTCTTCCCCCTTTTCCTTCTCATCCTTAAACCCTTTTCTCTCAATTTCCTCTGCTGTCTTTTTTTCCTCTTTTATTCTCTCTTCTTTCCCTCTCATTTCCCTTTCCATCCTCTCTTCCTCTCTCTGTATTTCTTTCTGGATCCTTTCCTCCTCCCTTTTTGCTTCCTCTTCAATATTTCTTCTCTCTTCTTCCTCCTTTCTCAGCTTTTGCTTGGCCAACCACTCTAGTTCCTCATGCCTTCTCCTCTCCTCTTCCTTCTCTCTACTCATTTTCTCTTTCTGGATCCTTTCTTTTTCCTCTCTCATTTCCTTTTCCATGCTCTCTTTCTTAGCCTTCTCTTCCTTTATCATTTTTTCTTTTTCAGTCCTTTCTTCCTCCTCCCTTTTAGCTCGCTCTTTTTCAACCTCTCTCCTTTCCTCTTCCTCCTCTATTTTCTTTTTCTCTTCCTCCTCCCTTCTCATTTTTTCTTTCTGAATCCTTTCTTCCTCTTTTCTTTTAGCTCGCTCTTTTTCAACCTCTCTTCTCTCCTCTTCCGCCTTTCTCAGATTTTCCTCATCTTGTCTTCTCCTGTCCTCTTTTTTCTTTCTCTCTTCCTCCTCTCTTCTCCTTTTTTCTTTCTGAATCCTTTCTTCCTCCTCTCTTTTAGCTTGCTGTTCTTCAGCTTCTCTCCTCTCCTCTTCCTCTCTTCTCATCTTTTCTTTCTGGATCCTTTCTTCCTCCTCTCTTTTAGCTTGCTGTTCTTCAGCTTCTCTCCTCTCCTCTTCCTCTCTTCTCATCTTTTCTTTCTGGATCCTTTCTTCCTCCTCTCTTTTAGCTTGCTGTTCTTCAGCTTCTCTCCTCTCCTCTTCTATTTTCTTTCTCTCTTCCTCTTCTCTTCTCATCTTTTCTTTCTGGATCCTTTCTTCCTCCTCTCTTTTAGCTTGCTCTTCTTCAGCTTTTATTCTTTCCTCTTCCCTTAGCTTTTCTTTGGCCAATCTCTCTAGTCTCCTCTTCTCTTCCTCCTCTCTTTGCATCTTCTCTTTCTGAATCCTTTCCTCCTCCTGCCGTTTAGCTTGCTCTTCAGCCCTTTTCCTCTCCTCCTCTCTTTGCATTTTTTGTTGATCTTCTCTCCTTTTCTGTTCCTGTTCTTTCATCTCGGCTAACTTTTCTTCATCATTCTTCCTTTTCATCTCTTCATTCCTAATCCTTTCACTTTCTGCTTTTCTGAATTTCTCTTCTCCGTCCATCCTTCCCCTTTCTTCTTGTTTCTTTTCTGCCATTAGCCCAGCATGGTCATTTTCTCTTCTAGCCGTTTCCTCCTGAATTCTTTTCTCTTCTTTCTTAAGCCTATCTTCTTCCTCTCTCTTTTTCTTTTCTTCTTGTTCTTTTTTCCACATCTCCTCAGCTCTCTCTTGTTCATGCTTGACTTTCTCCTCCATCCTCCTTTCTTCTTCCTCTTCCATCAGTCTCCTTTCTTCAGCTAACTTAAGTTCTTCTTCGTGCCTCTTCCTGTCCAACTCTTCCTTGATTTTTTCCTCTTCCTCTCTGCGCATCTTTTCTTCCTCATCAAATTTTCTCCTTTCTTGTTCTTCTAACCACCTTTTTTCTTCTTCAAGTCGTTGCATCTCTTCTTTCTTGACCCTGTTCTCTTCATCTTCTCTCAACTTTTCTGCAGTCAATCTATCCTGTTCTCCTTGTTGTTTCCTGATAGCCTCCTCTTCCTCTTCTTTTATTATATCCGTCTTCAGTTCGAACTTTTCTTCTTCCTCTTCTTCTCGTAAATCCTTAATATTTTCATCCTCCTCCTCTTCCTCCATCCAGGGGGAATACTCCCTCTGGGCTTTAAGGGAATCCACAGAGGGAGAAAAGTTTTCTGGGGCATCCTCTCTGGATTCATTTATTGAACTTGACTGGCTGAAGCTGGATCCAGTGCGTAACGGTCGAGACGGTGCCTCCTCGCAGTAAATATGGCTGCCGTTGATACATACATTGCTCTGCTCCTGCTTTTGTTGGCCTGAGGATGAATCTTTACTTTTAGAGTTACTGGAGTGTTTATGTATCTTGAACTTGAACTTCTTTTTCCCTGAAAACACACAAGGAAAGTTAACATGCATGCACTGACACAGAAAAGGGATTAAGGTATTAGATAAAAGCTGCTGACCCTCAGAGGAGTCCACGTTCAGCCCAGATGATTGACTGCCGCTCAAAGAGGAGTTCTTTCCCGGCAGGACGGACATGGATTGAGACATGTTCCTCTGAAGGTTGGATTTAGAAGAAAACAAAGACATCCTCTTGTGTTGCTTAGATTTTCCATCCTTGCCTGTTGCTCCCTCACCACCTCCACTAGTGTCATCTTCCTCGCTGTCAGTCAGAACCTGTGTAATGGACGGCACCACACCTGAGGAAGAGTCCGACTCCCTTTTCTTTCCACGCACTTTATCCTTAAACTTTCCCAGGCGGGAGCGGGATTTCCCTGCAGCGGAGAGGTCGAACATGCTGGCGGTCATGTTGTTCCTCATGAACTGGATGTCAACAAACACCTCTCCACGGTCTTTGTCTGGCTTACCAGTTTTATCCAGCAACTTAAACCATCTGAAACAGAGATTCTACATTAGGAATAAATCTTTAATGAGGAGGATGATGTTGTGTGTACAGATCATTCAGAAGAAATACTTATGTTTGTCTCTCATTAGCTACCTATAAATAAAAACATTCAATTTCAAAACTGTTTCCTGATCTAGTAAAATGCAAAAAAATACTATAATATTCTAATGGAGGTTATGAACCAAAATTGAACAAACTAAAATATGTCTTAACTGCTGTTTATATTATAAACATATTCATACCCCTCAAGTATTTCTGTAATATTATGCTACAATCACAAGCTTCATTGGGTTTTATTGGGATTGTATGTAGTAGGCTAACAAAAATGTCAAAAATGACACTTTCAATGACAATCTGCAAAACGAAGGTGACGATTCTCATGAAGTTGTAGATACTCATGGAGAGTATCTACAGCTAGGAAGGATCAAGTCTTAGTTGAATTGTAATCTGGCCTTTGACAGGGCCTTTCCACCTTGCTTTAATCTATTAAGACATTCAGTTCTAGGTATGACTTGTATGTTTATTGTCATCAAACCGAAAGGACCTCCATAAAATATAACACTTATTTGGTGCATTGTCACAATGGGCCGTTATGTTGTTCTGTCAGATGAGCTATGTAGCATTTTCTCTGCATACATAATGAGAATGCAGCAGTGCCAAAGAAAATGTGTTTTTATTTTTGTTTATTTAAAAAAGTTTTCAGATCAATCAATGACTTTCTAGACCAACATAAAATTATATTAAAACAAAAAAAACACCATGTGGATAATAAGGTACAACTGTTTCTCTTTTATGCACAACAAATTAATTGGCTTATGAAATCAAAGTTGGTTTTATTTTCAGTTTTTTGATCAAAGCCATTTCAGTATGAAGCAGCATCTTTTCTGTTTTCTGTTTTTTACCGGAAGGAATTGACCGTTTATCAAGTTCTGATGATCTGACATTACTGAGGAGAATTTATTAAATATGGAGAAATGCATTTGCTCTCATTTAGCATATTTTTTATTTAAAAAGGACTTCCATGATGCCTGCTTCAATTCTGTTCCAACTTACAGATTTAGATGGAAATGCCTAAGTGTTTGTGATACAAACACCCCTTCACCTTCGAGCCATTTGAACCTACTTAGCCATACTTGTCAACAAAACTTACAAGCAACATATCTCAAAATAACCCTGTCTATTTAACAAACCATGGTGAGGTAGGTGCAAGGTGCACCTACCTCACTATGTAGGTGCAAGATGGAAAGAATGCAAAAAGCAACCACCACTTGTTCTGTAAAAAGAAATGCATTATACTGTAGACCGCTAAATAAAAAGGGTTATCATTAACACAAAAAGTAGTTCATCTTTGCACTGATTATAAAACTGTGCTAAAAAACACCAACAGGTCTAAGATCACAGTTGTTTTTTTTACAAAGCAGAGAATGAAAAGATCCCAGTCAGCATAAAATAACTGCCCATCGGGCAAAAAGCTGAGGTCAGCTCGCCACTGAGAAAACGGCCTCGACTTAAATCTGGATTCCAAAGGAAATGAGGAAATCAGGAAGGGGGGTATGAGTAAATGCAGAAACATGCTGAGTTGTAGAAGCAGACTTTTCTTTTCCCTGCCAACGATTGTCTGAGCGGGTTTTCTGATTTTTATTCTTTAAATGGCATCCGGTATTTATTCCCTGAGTTGACAATGTTCCCAAGAAGCAACAGACTTAAAATCTCTCTGTGGGTTGCTCTCCTGTCATTGTCCTGTACAAGCTATGTTGCTGAGATTCACCCTCACCCTCCTCCTTCCTCAGGAATGCTTCAGATGTATGGCATAAACAACATTTAGGAGGGAACCCGCCTTTTCCTGGAATTTGATACTTGGTTCCTTGCACCTCAGCCTCCTTATTACTGATAAACTAGATGTAATCTGCACATGTCAAGCCTCAAGATTATAAATTTACAGTGGATTCTGCCTTGCTTACTGTTGAATAGATATGGCATTTGTCATGTAAAAAAAGAAAAATGGAAAAACATTCTTTGTTTAGATTTCAGGCCTGAAAAGTGATAATTATTGTCATTTGATTCATAGACAGATAAAAATCAGACTGATTATTTGTTTCCTCTTCAAAGGTTTCTTAGACATGCTGCTTAGTCTACACAGAATAGATGACCAAGATGGCCTTGGGCAACTGTTTAAGCTCAGAAAAGGTTAAATATTTACACAAATTCAATACATTCTGGTGCATTAATAACAAAAAGAAAGAAAAATCAATCCAAAGCACGCATTTGTTTTTAAATTTATTCAAATCTTAAATATAAAATAACAGAAAAACCCCAAAGAGATTTGAGCTTTCATCACTTTTTTCAAGCTGTACTGTTTAATAAGCTCAGACTAACAGAATGGATTTGTTGAGCAGATCTGGGGTTTCTCTAAGCAGCTGCACAGCAAGAAAGAAATTTGAATAATTGACACCCAGATGGCAGGAGAAGACCTTAAAGGAGAATAAGAAGACGTTATTTAACACATCTCACATTTGTTGTCATCTCTGAGATCAAGATTCAGTTGTTTTCTCACACTGACTTTGAGTTTCTTCAAACAAATGTCTAAACAGCCTCATGAATAATTTTTTAAACACTAGGTGTTAATTCAAGGTGCAGACCTGCGATTCCTACTTTGTGTTGAACTCTGAGCAGACCTTTTTATTACCAATCTCCACTGCTGATCTGTGATGTGCGCTATGCTCTTCTTATTAACTGAACATAGCCATATTCTGCCTGATTGAAAGTATATTTTGAGAACTCAGCAATGGAGCAGAGATAAAGCATGCAACAAAAGTAAGGAGGCCTTGTTCCTTGACAGATTCAAGTCCCAACATCCTCTCTCTCTCAGTCTCCCGTCAGCCTACTTTCAAAGAAAGGTCAATAGAGTCAAAAAAGTACCTTTTAAAAATAAAAACCTTTAAGTATGTATTGGACATACATTTCAAACCCATATTTTCCATTTACTGTATAAAGCACCAATGCACTATTTTAACTATGCAATGTTTTAATTAGCTGTCATCAGAACAATAATAGATTGAAAGGCCTTAAATCATAAATATATTTTCCAATAATAAACCTATTGAATATGATTATGTTAGTCTGCTCTTGACTCATTTCATTGGAAGAAATAAACAGATTTGGTCATAAAAAGTAAAGAACTTGCATGATTCATCCTTATTCATGCAGATGCTTTCTGATTTAATTATGGCATCTTGTTTGCCTAATATAATTTTCTCTTACATTGTTTTTGTTCTATTTGTGAGTAAACAAAAGTGTTCTTGGTATTTAGAATAACAAGACCATGTGATAGGAGGTATTATTTAGCTCATGTATGCAGTGGGGATATAACTAATGAATCCAAAAAAGACCTTAAAATTATGAAAAGAAAGAGGAAATATAATAATGATCTACAATTTCTTTTCAAATAAGAGTATTCCTAATAAATCGTATTCCACTGAATCATTTCTGACAGTCCTTAAAACAAAATGGAAAAAGTGTCGGTGTTCAGCAGTAGTGTATAATTTAATAAATATGTAACTAAACTCAAAACTAAAATACTATTTCTTATAAAGTTGGGATGGTGCATAAAACATTACTTTGGCACTTAACATAATCCTCAGACCTGTTCAAGTAGTTTATTTGTTTACCATTTACTATTACAACTAGGGATGTGGGAAAAAATCTGATCTGGCGATATAACGTGATCTTTCAGTTTTTAATATCAATTTTGAACGAAAAACAACATTTTGCACCGCCACTCTAACAGATAGTGCTGCGGAGCCCTTTTGCTGTGCGGCGCAGCGTCATATCTGTAGTTGAGGGAGTCACTGTTGAAGACGTGGACTCAAACCCCAAACATGGATACCAAAATAACTAAATTATCAATATCTTCATTATCTTCATTTATTTTGATAGCTGGAAAAAATATCACAATATATAGTGATATTGCAATATATTAATATCGTATTTTGACCCAAGTACCACGATACGCATCGTATCGCAACACCCATGCCAATACTCACCTCTAATTGCAACGTTTTAATTATTTTCTGTAGATTTATGTGCATTATGCTTTTTATTGGCTTGAGTCTTTGAAGATTTGAACTACTGAACACAAACAAGAAGGAAAACTTAAAAAAAAAATAATAAATCAAGATTCTTTTTGCATACAACTTTCATTTTCTTTTAAATACAACTTTAAATTAAAAATTAATTAAATACAACTTTAAAATTAAATACAACATTAATTTTCTTTAAATTACTCATCACCTGAAAATCTGACTTTTTCCATGTAAAAATAAAAACCAAGGCAAACGGCTACAGTTGCTAACGCTACATCCACATCAACAAACATAAACAGTAAAATTCTTCTGAAAAAGAAAATCATAAACTAATTTTAATCAAATTACAGAAGGACTGTGTAAAATGCATGCAGGTTAGGATTCCTTCAAGGTAAAAAAAAATGCACAAAAAGAATCAGTCCCTAAGGTCCACCTAAACCTCCACGATCAAACCAGAGGTAAAAATATAACTTCAGGACATAATTAAAAAGAGTTAGGTGTCCCTGAACTGCGTACACTTTACAGGCCCTGCAGGAACCGACGATACAGAGCCTGCAGAGCTCCATAACATTATGGCCATGAACAGTTCAGCAGGAAGACATCTCTCCCAAAGGACTGACTCAGTTTTGGGGATCAGAAAGGTGCTCCGAGTCCAGAAGGAATACAGGTCCCCTCAAGGGTCAGAAAGCTTTAAGAACAGATATCAGATCCTTATAAAACTAACTGTGCCAAGTCTACAATACCTTGTTCATTTTACCCACCTATATACAGAAGGGGTAAGTATTTTTTAGGGTCAGAACTTTAACAGTTCAATGAATAGAGAACTTCTCTTCTTAGCAGAACTGTTTTTTTGTTTGTTTTTTGTTAAACCAGTAAAGGATACCTGTAAATATACTGTTCTACTCTACAATCGGCTAAAAAAAAAAAAAAAACTACCCGACCTCAAGAATGGGAGATTAATTTAATAACCAGAATCACTTTTAAGGCTCAATTCATGATTCCAACATTTCTAAAAAGACTCAAACATAAAAAAAATAGACTTTGGTCCTTTCACTGATGTAAAAAGAAACATTGAATTGCATCATAAGACAATAATTGGAGCGTAATCTGATCCATGTTACAGGTCACAAAACCAGACACAGATGAGCAAAAATGAGAAGCAGCAAGTTCCTCCAGTGGAGTCAGAGGGGAAGTTGCTAAATCAATAGGGTGGAGCCCACAACACCCTGCAGGAGGTATCAAACTGCCCATTGCTCTTCAGCTGATCTTACATTTCATCGAGCTGGTAGAAAATGTGCCAGTATGCTGGACAGACAGAGCCAGAGGAAGATAACAAGACTCAACATTCTGCAGATCTCCATCGTACTTTCTCTGGACACATCCTTCCTGGGCTGCTGATAACACAATGACCCAGAATGACTCTGGTGGTTCTTATCACAGAGTGCAGCTGTTCATGGCAAAACAGCTGAATATGTAAAAATGTGGCAAGAAAAACCTCCAAGGACTAAACTGTCCCATTCAACCAAAAAAAAAAAAAAAAAAAAAAAAAAAAAAAACCCACAACAAAAAACTGAATAGTGAACTCTAAATAAAGATGTCTTCATTGTTTGGTCCATTTAATAGCCCATATATTTTACTTTAGGCTTTGAAGGATAGTTTTAAAATGATGCTAAAAAAATATATTTTTTTAGAAAAGTAGAATGTTGTGCGCAAATAATGCAGTCAAACAGATAGACACACTCCTGATGACCTTTAGATAACAGCCCCATAATAAGCTGAAGAGAAACCACATGCTTTTAGGAGCCATCAGTGGGATCTTGGCCCAATTCTGGCAGAGAGTTTTGACTGCTCTTGTTTTTAGATAAAGTAAAAACATTTCAAATTGGCTGGTTTCCTGGTTCAGACCTGGCTTTTAAAAACAGTCCAAACATTAGGGCTCCTCCAAACGTGGTCATTATGAACAACACTTCAATTTTAGTTGTACAAAACACAAAAAGTAACGTCTTTCATTTTGAGTGCATCTTTAAAACATAATATTTAGTTATTTAAGTTGCGTTAATGGCTCCATTTTTGAGGCCTCTTCAGTCACCATTGCTGCTGAACTCTTCCAGTGCTTTTTTGAAAGTCTTAAGAATATTCTACCAAATTACATCAGGTGTTCCCCTAAACATACATCCATAGGAGTGCATTAATTTGACTTAAACTGTGTACATTAACCAATGATAAGCTTATAAGCCATTACATCAAGCTCAAAGTTTCTCTGGTTGCTTAAAAGCGTCATAATTTTTGAGTTTCTAAACCTCTGAATTTGATAGAACAGTAACAGTAAAAAAAAAAAGAAAAAAAAGAGAAAAGGGGGAAAACATGATTATGCATCTTTCCTTGGGGAAAAAAATAAATTTAAACTACGGCAGTCAGGTTCAACTTTTTTAAATTAACCCAATTTGTATAGTGGATCTTTTCTTTATTGATCAAATCAAAGTTACAAAGTTCAAAATTAATAGCAATACAAGCTTAAGTTTCTATTTACCTACTGGTCAAAGTCCTGTGGCTTTAAAGATGGAAGCTGTAATGTTCTAAAGCCTTAGGAAGCTGAAATTAACTATGTGCCATTTTCACCAAGAGGAAACAGGCTGACATGTTACAGAGGACAGAGACTTTAAGTGATCAAAAGTATGAAAAATGGACTGATTTTAGCTTCTATATCACAATTCCATTATATACAGAAGCCTACGCCTGTGTTATTACTTATAGCTGTTCTTTTTTAAAATCAAAATACCAAGAGGAGAAAAGAAAGGGGGACAAAATGCATTATTTTGACATGATTCTTTTCCAAGTCACCATGACATGAATCTTTTCCTAACTTAATTTAATTACTGTATCTGGAGAGTTTCAACATTGGCAGACTGCAGCATCCCAGATATGTGAGGGAGTTGTTTCCGCAGCAGAACTCCAGTATACCTTCCTTATCATAGGGCTATAGTCCACATATGTAAAGACTTTTCTTACATTAACTGTTAACTTGAAAGACGAATTAATTCTTAAATCAAAATTTGTGAAACGAGCTGTGGGTGAAGCAAGACGCTCTGATTCTCTGCAGTTGAACTGTGAAACCCTGACCTCACTTGACTTTCACAGTTGCCATCAATGTTTGTTTTCTCATTGATAAAACAGTCAGGAATGCAAGGCCAAAGCTGGAGGGAAAGTCACCGAGCTCACAGAGAGAGATCAACACAGACAAGCTTTGTCTGAATTCACAGAAAAACAAACCTGCAAACGTCCCTGTTCTTGTGTCAAAACTATGAAACCCTCATTAAATTGAGGCTTTCATAGTTTTCCACAAGGCCCCCCATGTTTAAAAGAATGTTGAGTCTGTACAGATAGGACAGCGCTCTTAATCCAGCAAAATGTGACACTGTAGAGCAGGACATGCAAAAAAAAAAAAAAAGAACATCTTAAAAACTTGACTGTTTTCATTATTAGAAAGTGTGATATTAATGTGCGCACATTTGTACAATTGAATTAATTTCTATTATTTCTTATTACATTTCATACTATAAAATGTAATGGTGTGGAAGACTTTGGCGTAAAAATAAAAGATATATAAAATTTTACACCAGCTTTGGTAAATGCATTTCTTCATGAAGGCAAATGAGCTCAGTCAGAGTAAAAATTAATCTTTAAAACAACCCGCATTCATTTGTTTGAGTAAGTAATGCTGCTTGGCATCCTCCAAGGCTGCAACCAAGGGAACAAATCCTATAAACCTCAAGGGTGCCAGTGGGCCAGCCCACCTAAATGGGCCTGTGCAGTGATGCATGGCTGAGTTTTGCACTCTCAATGGGCTCAAAGGGTTCAGAAATCACAGAAGTCTCCTATGCAGATGGTCTAAAAACAAGCTTTAATAATCAAATGCTTTTAAATATGCTGCTGGGTAGTTTGTCTGCGAGATTATTGTGAATTTAAAAAGGATTATGTGAGTTTTGAGCTCTGAAACCACAAAGGTTCAGTATGATGGGCAGCAGAACCTAATAAACAGAAGTTACATCTCTGTGGGGAAGGTGAAACTCAGAGCAATTAGTTGATCCTGATATTTAGTTGTGAATAGACATTTCAGAAATTAAGGCTCAGAAGACCTAAAACTTCTAATATGATGTTGGTATATCTAATGATCATCAGTTTATTTATTAATTGGGTGTTTGTTTTTTACACTTCAGTGGACTTACTCTGTTTTGTTGCGGGTTTTGTCGTCACTGAGCTGCAGCAGGTCGATGACAGCCTGTCCCAGCAGCTTGTCAGGTCCCACCAGAGCCCGGTGCAGGACGTGGACGCGCAGCGTGCTGCGCTCCTTCCCTCCTCCTCCACCCTGAAGCGGCGGCAGGTCGAAGGTGGCCTCCTCCTTCCATGTCGGAGCTACTGTTTTCTCCACCACCGAGGTCTGGTACTTCTCCTTGCCCACTTGCATAAGCGCATACGCGTCATTTGTGCCTCCTTTCCCTTTAATCCTGAGACCTCTGGCTTGGAGCACCGTTACCTGAACGCTTGTGGGACACCACTGCTGATCCGCTAAGGACATGGTGGCAACACCTGCTGCTGGATCAGCGACCTTCAGGAGGAAAACACCAAAACAAAAGGCAACGGAGACACTTCACCATCCGGATCACCGCAAACTGAAGAGGACGGAAAAGTTTGCTGACGAGCGCAGCAGGAGTTAGAGCCAGCTGATTGGGCGTGGTCACATCAAGGTTTGGAGAAGCCACGCCCACTCTGAGCTGACAGGTGGGTGGATCGATGTTCATTATGAATTAACCACACACCTGACACCTGTCTGCAGCCGGTATACATTCAATCTAAAATACTTTCTACTGAAGCAAAGTGATGTTTGACAACCTTTAAGCAGAGGCGTAGCCAGACATTTTTATAAGAGTGGCCAGGTAATAACCAATGTACACTGAAGGGGTGCCGAAAGCGGATAGCCACCAGAACCTCACTGTCAATCTACACTGTTCCAACAGGATTATTAACAAGCAAAACATCCATATTTTGTAAATAAAGACAAACTATACTTTCCTACAGCCTTTGCTTACAAATAGACACATATATTTGAACACCCATAATTTCTAGATAAAAGATATAGTGGATAAAACTCTTTCAGTTTTGAGTTCTGGGCCATAAATCTTTTCTATTGTCATTACTTACCTACTTGTATCAAGAAACATTCTGCATAGAATTGATATTTACAAGTACTAATATCTACATAAATTGCTTATTTGCTAAGTTCTGTATTTATCATTTTTGACTTAGTATATTAATGTGCATAATTAACCACAAAAAACTAAAATGTTTTGAATATTCCACTTGAGATTAATAATGTTGCCACCATCTGTATTAGATGGGTGACCACAGGGGTGGCCAATGATTGGCTAAGGATGGCAATGGCCACCCCTGGCCCCCCATCTAGATCCGCCTCTGCCTTCAAGCAGGGATTTTTATCATAGTTAACAGAATTGAGACCTTGTAGTAGGGTGTTTGTAACAGTGTTGCCAGAACAAGCAAGATGAATTCAATCATAGGGGAGAACAGTGGCGTCAGATGTAGGAGTTTGCCCCTGAAATCGAAGAATTGACGGTTCAAGCCCCGGCTCCAAATTTCAGTGTTGTTGTGTCCTTGGGCAAGACACTTCACCTGCATTGTCTACTGATGGTGGTCAGAGGGCCCGGTGGCGTCAGTGTACGGCAGCTCCGCTTCTGTCAGTGAGCCCCTGGGCAGCTGTGGCTACAATGTAGCTTGCCACCATCTGTGTGTGTGTGTGTGTGAATGGATGACTGACTGAATGTAGTGTAAAGCGCTTTGGTCAAGTCTCTTGACTTGAAAAAGCGCTATATAAGTACAGGCCATTTACTATTCAATCAGCAGAAACAATATTATTATTAACACAAATGCAGCTCTGCTGCTCTTCTCATCTGTGGGGAACAGATGAGCAACGTCATAGCAGCACGCACATTACTGAAGGGTGTGTCGCTTTAGTTACGACCAGAGACAGGTAACTATATAATGCAATGATTATGGGTTGGTGGGTTTTTTTTGTTTGTTTTTTTTTGTATTCATAATACAATGGAATAATATATTGTGTTATATATATATATATATACCGTATATATATATATATATATATAGTATGTGTGTGTGTGTTAAATACTGTCTTTAATGTTGCTGCTATTTTCAAATATCAATTACTGTAAAAATGTGGTTATGTAGTTCTCCAGGTGCACAGTATTTATATTGTTAAAACACTTACAGTACAGTATTTTTTTATATATATATTTTAGCTCTTCACTATTATGTATTTTTATACACTCTTCTAAGACCCACATTTTTGTGAACATTTTTTCTATAATTTTTTTGCTGCTGTAACACCAAAATGTTCCCATTGTGCGACAAAAAAATTTATATTCTATTCTATTCTATTCTATTTTATCATATAATGATTGAAAGCCAATTATTAAAAAAATAAAGGTTGAGTTGTTTTTTCGAGTTGTTTTTTTTTTTTTTACTTTTCTGGAATACAAAAATAAAGACATTTTCACTGCAATGTTTTGAGAAGATTAACTTGCTACTCGATGTTTCACTTTTCGAACTGAGTTACAGAAATAGGGTAAAACTGATTAAAATTTTACTGCCTATTCCAGCTACATTTTCAACTGTAAGGGAAGCAGAATTGATAGAAAAGGAACCATACTTACCCACTTGTTAAAAATAATGAATGGAGAACCTGATCTCTCAGTGAACAACATGTCAAACCTTGACATGTAAATTAATGATTTTCTTTTTCTATCTTGACATGAATTCTTTGAATTACAACATCTCTTTGCCTTAAGGGGGGGCACAGGCTCCATGGTTTTAATGAGCAGTTTCAATGGGGTTCAGACTAGTTCCTGTATCTCTAACTATTACATTGTGCCAGTTTGGTATGTCCACAACTGATTTTCTGCCTCTTTTGTATAGAGGTGGCCTTCTGAAACTCAAATGACTACATACTGTATACCCATAGTTAATTCATATAGAGTGAGATACTGTTTTATGTAAAACACTGACTCCTGCTGTAAGAGTGAGGTAAAGGACATATTTTTTTAAAATCAGAATATTATAGACTATAAATATAACCTTAAATAGTAATTCAGCAACAAGCAAATGTGTGTTTCATCTTAGTCACCATAACATGCAAAGAGCAGCAATAATTAAAGCTGCAGACAAACAGAGCATTGAGCCAATTAGCAAACTGATTACACATGCAGGAAACACTGTATATGTTATATAATAATGCCTGCTGTGCCTGCATCTGGGAAATTAGCAAACTACTGTGTTTTCAGAGAGTCATTTCTTTAATGAAATAGTAATTAATGGTATTATGATTAATCACCTAAGCGATAAAAAACAGATCTTCAAGACTGTATTTAGTTAACATTTTCTGACTTGCACAAGCTTACAAAAAACATTTTCAAATAAAAAACATCTTATTATAAAATGCAAACTCGATTCTTTACTAATGCATTTCACACCATATGTTGCATTGTTGAACAGGACATAAGAGCCTGTAGTGATGATGGACATACAGGTCTTTATTACAACTGAAAATCATTTGTCTTTGTCGCCCTCTGGACATCCACCTTCTGTATGTTTGCACCGGTTCTGATCCTCATGTCCCCCCATAAGTATTTTGCTGTAAAGTTGCTGTTCTTCTTCTTTAAAAGCATCTTTCACTTTGGTTCGTTTCAGTCCTGCATCCCTGGAGGAGCAAATGTAAACAAAGACGAGACTGTCATACATAGAGTCAGTCTTAGTGGTAATATTTTCAGCAAACCCAGGAGAAACAATAATAAATGTGGTCTTTGATTTAGCTCCAGCATGTAATACTTAATTATGATTATGAAATCTAAAACCTCAATAAATTAGTTTGTGAACTGGGCCCTATGTTCAGCAGGATATTTAGTTTGAACTCATGAAAATCTAAAACTAAAATGAAGAAATAGTCAAAATAGTATTTCAGTACCACATTGACTCACCATATGAGGTCCACTAACCCTGCCTGGGCAGCAATGGCAGCCTTTACTCGATTGGCAAATTGCACTGCATCCTCTCCTTCCTATAAATGGGATAAAAAAAAAAAGGTTTTTAAAAATATCCAACGAATTCTGGAACTGTTTCTTCCCCACCGTCATTAGAATGCTAAATGGGTTATAAAATAAAATAAAAAGAAAAAAAATAAAATATTTATTTTATTTTTTTTTTTAATTATTAAAAAAAATAAAATAGTCCAGAGAGCTGTATTTAACGGAATTTCTTTTTGTTTACACTTGTGTTTACAAAATGACAAAATAAAATCTGTCTAAGTCTAAAAAGAAAACAGATAAGGCTAAAATGGCTAAATGTTTTATTATATATGTTTTAATATAACTAACTGGTCATTGTATTGATAACATAGTCCTGTGTGCTCACTTTTAGCTCCTCAAGGACATAAAACTTTGCTGTGTTTTCAATGATATTACAGAAAAAAAAACATTTACAATCCGTTTGGGTGTGTTTTTTTCTTTAGCACATTATATAAAAGCTTACAGTGATGTAATTGGCGTTAGTGTTAGCTAAAGGGGAATTGCAAAAATGTGTGCCAGAATCTTTATTGTCATGATGAAACCATAATGAATATTTTTGTCAACATGCTTGGCTCCAGAATACACATAGAAAATACAGAGAAAATAAAAAACACTTTGGGGAGAAACAAGCATCTTTAAAAGTCTTTAAAAAGTTGACATTCATGCATATTGTTGTAACTTTTATATTCTAAAATGTATCTGACATTTAATTTGTGGCGACATTGGGGTCTGAGGGCCTGGTAGTGCCTGTTTTCGGCAGCCTTGCTTATGTCAGTGTGCCCCTGGGCAGCTGTTGCTACAAAGTAGCTTGCCACCATTAGTGTGTGAATGACAAAATGCCGTGTAAATTACTTTGCAGTCACCGAACTTAAAAAGCGGCCATTCCCGTACAGCGCTTTTACTAAAATATTTACAGTAACATTAAAGGTTTACAGCTTGCTGTATGTTACTGATGTACATTGTTTACATTTCCCCTGCTATTGTGGAATTGTAAGAGCTTACCTTTCTCCTCATTGGTGGTAGATACCAAACGCTACAAACGATGGCCCAGCTGCTCATCATTCTGACCAGGTATCCCACTAAACCAAATTTGCTGCTGTCCCAAAAAGCATCTCCAAAGTGAGGATCATACTGAAAGAAAAAATAAAAACCTTGCTCCTTCTGGCCTAACTACAAGAAAAATAAGTGCAGAAGAGACCTTACCTTAATGGCAGCAGGATAGATGGTGCAGCCGATTTCAAAGCTGCCCTTCCTGAACATCATCACTGATGTGTTGTTGACACAACTGCCTGTAAATGAAATAATCTGAAGATTTGTGAGGAAAGTATTTCTCATGCCTTCTCTTTTAAAACACTTTTTAGCACTTTTTACGGGAATGTTTTGTGATTTTTCAAAACTTTCAAAACATTTTAAAGTATCACAGTAACCGCTACATTGCTGTGCATTTTAGTTAATATTTTGCACGGACACGACAAAAGTTTAAACAACATAATGAAACCACAATAAACTTTAGTAGGTAAAACCTAATTACACAAAAAGGGTGCTATGTTTTTTCTGTTGATGCAAGGCCTAATAGATCCATGATTTTATATATTCTTAACCAACCATCTGAATGTTTCAGCTTATGTAGTGATTTGACGGCAAATTTTACATTTTTCTAATCTGTTCATGTCCAGTTTTGGTAAGTATGCATGCTCAGTTTACAATTAGCAGACAGCTGTGAAATCTGGCATGGTCTGCTGCCACAGCTGTCTGCGGTCTGCTGCCCATCTGCTTCAAGGTTTTCAACATGTTTTTTTGTAAGGCTACTGTTGGTTTTTAGATTGTTTTTACTCTTTGAGCTATTTTTTGGGAACCTTTGGAAATTTTTTGTAGTAAAATTTCCAACATATTAACAGTACCGGTTCAAAATCACTTTAATACACTTTTTTTTAACAAGCATTTACAAAAAGCTTAGTATTTAGGTTACAGGTGACTGTGCTCTAAAATGAAAATAAAATGAGAAAACATTAGCTTGCTTATGGCTCTGACAGGCAGACTTTATGTCTTCTACTTGTGAACCTCATTTCTTTCACATTACATGTTTGCACAACCAAATAACCCGTAGTTTGCATAATGTTTGCTCTGAAGAAAAAACATCAGTGTAAAAGAAGATTATTTCATCATCGTGCATTAAGATTATGTGCACAATTATTATTTTATGCAGGTGGGAGGTTACTTTTATTATAAAAACCTTTTATATTAAATTGTGTTGCAAAACTCTTTATTTTGCAAAGAGATTTGCAAGCCTATGTATTCTATTTCTTTTTGTGTTAATGTATCAAAAAGAAATATAAATAAAAAAATATCAAGCTATTCTGATTATAGGTCTCGCTAGCTAGGTAACAGGGTTCATGCGCACCTTCAGGGAAGATAAGGATGGGATGTTTGTTTTCATCTGCAATGTGATCCCTGAGTCTGAAACATAAGACAAGGAGAAAAAAAAACAAAGAAAAACTTCAAAAAATACATAATTAGTGAAGTGAAGGAAAAGTTGTTTTATTTCCTACAAAACACCTTTTATTGTGGGATAATTTTTAATAATGAAATCTTAGGGGATATGAAGTGACTCTAGATTCTTTAACATTACATGCTGGGTAAAAGATTGTTCTTAATAACACATCATTAAAAGATATTCCTTATTAGTAAAAGATGTGTTCAGATGTCATTCTTTTCCCTTACAGTTTTTTATCTAAAAATAGAAATGAAATACATTTATTTGAAATTAGTTTCTGCTAAAGTTAAGGGACACTTTATACTAACCCTGCAATGTTACCTTTGGGCCACTAGGTGTCTGTCTTTGACTTCAGCTCGTTCAAACCATATATGAGAAGAGGAGGTCACCATGGCTCTTTGGATCATTCCCAGTAAGCCTCCATGTAACTGACCAACCTGAAAGATAACTTCACTTTGACTTCCTCTCATCCTTTAAATGTATTTTACTCATAACATGCAGACTTTCTACATACTTAAAATTCCATACCAAAGAGTAGCAAAGGTCATTGGCCAGGATAATCCCATCTATTGGTGTTGTGTGATTGGCCACACAGATGCCATCATTCTTTGGTTTGTTTTCTCTGCAGGTAAACAGAACATAGACAGAGAAATTATCTTGATGGCTGTGCTAAGTAGAATTTGACAAGGGATCAAATAGGTTAAGACGCAAGAACAAGCGTTCTGTGCAGCGTTTGCAGCTAAACTCAATAATAATAATAAGTTCAAATGAAATACATATAATCAACAATTTTGGATGAAACTCTTAAAATATGGTATGAGGTACTTAAAAAATACAAATCAGAAGGAGATAGTGAACTCTTAATGTGGCCCTCTCAGTCAAAGAGATTTAAACCAAAAGACTCGGATAGCACATTTATAGATTGGAGGAGAATGGGGATAACGGCTATCTGCACACTAGTAGAAGGAAAAACATTTAAAACATTCAATAAAATCAGAAGAGAATTTTAACTGAATAACAGAGATTTTTTTCAGATACCTACAGCTAAGACACTTATATACCAATGAGGTTGAGAAAGAATTATCACTGGAAGGAAATGAGTTGATTCAGCTCTTTGTAGAACCAAACCCCCAAAAAAGTTGTATCTAAACTATATAAAAGCTTACAAAAACGAAATGGAAATAACTCGTTATATATAAAGTCCAAATGGGAAGCAGAGTTCAAAGTGAAACTGTCAAAGAGTGACTGGCTTTCAATGTGCAAAACACGACAGTCCTCCACAAGTTCTAGAGGTTGGAGGGAATTTGGATGGAAAAATTTAATACGCTACTTCATAACACCTCAATTACGAAATCAATTATTCCATACTCAACAACAATGTTGGAGGCAATGTGGACAGATGAATGCCAGTCACTCTCATATATTTTGCAATGTACAAAAATACAAACCTACAGTACTGGGATCAAGTTGTTAAGGCTACAGAAGAAATAATAGGATACAAGATACCCAAGGACCCACGAATAATATATTTGGGCTGGCTGGAGAGTGAAGGGATACACCGGAAAGACATCTATCTTCTCAAAATCTTGATAGTGGCAGCTAAAAAGGCGATTACCAGAAAATGGTTTAAAAGTGACCCTCCACACCTGACGCAATGGATTTTAATAGTAGAGGAAATCTTCACAATGGAGGAAATGACCTACCACCTGAGGATCAAGTACAAATACCTGAAACAACAGTGGAGGAAATGGTTTGATTGCACAAATCGGAAAGGACTTATCCTCAATAAGACTGGAACGAAAGATAAACCTTTTTAAGACTTGTGTGACCCCCACATTCACTAAACTCAGACTCTGTTATACCTTTGCTGTATTTTTATCGTCCTTCGCTGTTCATATTCTTCTTTTGTTTGTTTTAATGCAAAACTGAAAAATACTAAATAAAAAAAAAAATACATATAATCATTTTCCACTTTTTGAAATAAAAAAGGATCCAACCTTTCATGTCTTAAATTAAGATTATCAGAACTGTTTCTTTTTTTCTAAATGCTGAAAGGATGGGATATTATTCTTTTTAAAGATTATTTTTTTTTTATATTTTCTAATTCAACATTTTAAAATACAATTTCTTACATTATAGTTTTGCTGTAATTTTGCCCATATTTACTTGACAGAAGTAATGTGACCAAATCAGGTTTGTAAGCCACATTGTTTATCCATGATGGGTCTGACAACAACATTTGATGATGTTGACACCTCAATTTTCTGGTCTTTGGCAGATTTTTTAAATGTATTAGAAATAATTTTCAATCTAATTTCATGAGATGCTGCTTTAGCAATTTTTAAGTATGTAAAATGGATTTGTACAGGGTACCAGCAGCACAAATCCACCCTATTCTGTAAAGTTTGCAGAATGTTATACTTTTCACAAACTTGTACTGTATTTTCTTTCATCTGAATCAGGGTTAACCAGCCTTTTAAGGCCTTAGAGCTACTTCATGGGTGCTGCGCCATAGAAAGGGCTAGTATGAATAGAGGAACCAGAGTTCATCTAAACTTCATAGTAAGCAGCATGATAAACATAATTTCATTATTACTTTTACTTCCTAAATGTCTTTTAGATGTTTTCATTTTGAAACCTCTATAAATGAAAGTGTGATTAAAAAAAGAAGGGCAACAGAATAGATAAAAATTCAGACTTAGCCCACTGGTGATTTGTGAGGTTATCAAGGAGATGCTGAGGGCGCCCCATGTGGTCCCTGAGGGCCAGTTGGTGTCCGCAGGCACCATGTTGGTGACTCCTGCTCTAAATTAAACAATGCTTATTGTGATCAAACATTTCAATTGTAGTTTAATCAGACAAAAGAAAACGAAACAAGAATTAAGATATTTTTCCCTGAATGTATTTACAGACCTTTAATGTTGCTTTTCATGATGCTTTTGTACTAACTGTTTCCATTCTGAGAGCCTCATAAGTTCTTTTCAGATAACGACGCACTCTAAAAAAATGGCACTGTGGTAGGTAATTGTTACCCTGTGTAGATTAGAGAAAAATTAAAATAAGCTAAAACATCTAAACACAGTATACAGTAGGTATGAAAAGTCAACCAGAATGAATTTGCACTCAGGCCTATGTTGAGCATTGATGTCCCTGTTACTAAAAATGAAATGTTTCTATTTCCAACTCTATATAGCATTAATGCTTTGCAGAATGATGTGATGGGGAATGATATCCCATCTCATACCTGTTGTGATAGGTGATGATTCCAGTCAGAGATCCAACACATAGACGATAACCCATCCAATGCACCTTATCACTGAGGTAGCTTCTTAACCTGGTATCATACAGGAATGAAGGCACAACCTTTGCTAAGATTACTTATATGCAAGTTGAAACTTAAGCAGGACCGATGGAGACTCACTTTGTTTTGGGTAGGAATCCTACCATGGTGCTTAAAACAATGAACAGAGAAATCCCTGTCACTGCTACAGTTACCCTAAAAAAAAGTACATTCAAACAAATGGATTATGTAAGACATAACCTCGCTCCGCAAAAAATGAATAAAAAATAATTACTGCTCTGACCTGAAAGGCAGTAGAACACCATAGCGGATTAAAACTCCAAGAACCCACAAGGCTAAGAGTTTTAGACTTAGGTAACGGAAGTTGCGGTTGCTCCTTTTTAGCAAGTTCCAGCTTTCCAGCTCCTGGGCTGAGAAGCACTTGGTCACGTCATCGTCCACAATGCTCTCCAAGGCTTTTCGACAGAAGAAGAAGACATCAGAGAGTTCAAACCTTGGCTCCAAACTCAGAAGAGTACTTTGCTGAAGGTCCTCAAATTCCTGTTGCAGAGTTGAACCTGGTGTTTTGGCTATAATGCCTTTGGGTAGAGAAATACATTTTATATTTTATGATGAAAAATACATAAAATACATGATTTACTTGTAATTTGTACTGCCAAAAAACACTGAAATGTCAATATCTCACCCCTGGTATAGTGTTTGTAGAGTTGCTGATTCTTCTCTTTAGCACTCAGCTCCATTTGTAAGGTTGCCCACTAAAAGTCAATAAAACAGATCGCTGTCAGGCTTTGCTAAACAACCTATATAGGTCATCAGAATAGAATCAGAGTCAGAGACTGAAGGAGAGAATGTGCAGCAGAGAGCAACTGTATAAAAAACAACCCACCCCCCATGAAATTAGACAACATATGTCTGAAGCACAGCTATGTTCACAGGAGGAGAGCATGTGCTCTGCAGATTATTACGGGCCAATTTTAGCTCCAAACGTTCACTATCCAGCTTAAACATTGGAAAAGTAGGTCATAAACTTAGAAGAGGAGGGTTCAGCATCAGATAAGAAGGGAGATATTTACAGAGCCACGCTGGAGTTGTGCTAAGAAACAGGAACATTTATTATCTGACTGTAGATACCTGAGATTATAGAAGGTGCAACATTCCAATCCATCAACCACTAATAGATTACAAAAGAATCAAGCCTTACTGTTATCTTCTGTCTTTTGCTGATCTGTGAATTTATGTTTTGAATTTGACCTAAGCTACACAGCAATTAGCTATTTTATATTATATGTTGTGAATGTTTGAAAGTTTATCAACATTGATTATTAAATGGATGGAAACTTTTTGATCTCTTTTCTATTGTTTTATGCATAACTTGAAATAGTCATGCCAGATGTTTTCTTAATGGCTGATGTGAGGTTAAGTAGATACATTTAGACGTAGATCATTGTGTATTTTTTTGACTCCATGTTTAATTGGGACTTTGTATGGGCTACAGGTCCAGATTATGTCCAAAGAAATTAATCCAGTTTTAACCTAATTAAATGTGTTTCTTGTGATATGAGCCCACTATAATAAGAAACTGTTCCCAACTGCTGTCTAAAGCACTTTGACCTCTATGCCCACTTAAACAGTGTTTGGTTCCTGTCTCTTCTGGTAGATTTTCAGCCTTAATTCAAGGTTAGAGGAAATTAGCTGAAACAGTTTCCCAATAATAACTTTAAATCTTCTAAGTAGCTGGCAGTGAAGACTCTTTAAGTTTTCCAAAAGTAACATTTTATTACACATTTGTTCAGTTTTGCACTCGGTAAAATATTCCAGGTCACACTATGTTGGGTATGGGTATATGCAGATAAACCGCTGGATAAAAAGCCTGATCAAGAAGGCTTGAGATATCTGGTGGTCTGAGATATCTAAACCAACTCTAATGGGTCCTGAGGCTGTGAGCTTTCTCTGCCTGAGGAAGCTGTTCCAAAGAAAAAAAACAAAAATCCTTTAATCTTGATATAATGCATCATATTTACCTCCTATCTTAATTAAGGATTTATGTTTCACAACCAGTTAATTTATAAAAACTGTCTTTTTCAGCTGAACAATTTAGGAGCTAAATATTATTAGATAAAACAAATTATCTTAAAAGATGAAACAATTATAATTTATTTTTACTTTGCTATATATAGATAATCTTTATAAAATACTCTCCGGACAAACCACAGTATTAGCTCTAACTCCTAACTCATCAGTGTGGTATGTGTCTCACTGAGATGGTTTTATATTCACAGCTGGGAAAAGGCTGATACCAGTGAGCTTCAGAATAATATTAGCTATGATCAGAATAATATTGGCTGAATGCATTCCAAGATCAGATCGAAATGTGTCATGCAATATTCTGAAGGAGTGGAAATGCACCATGTGGATGTGTGGTGCACATGTGCACTGATCAGATTGTTAGTCGGCACAAACCATCATTCTCAGTCAGATCACTTCTTCTCATTTGATCAGAATATTCAAACTGGCATGTTTACAACATATTATAGTCCAGCTGGCTAATTATCACTTATGTGCATGTAGCCATAGCTATTGTTGATTGCCCCTCTTAGGTTAGGTCCACCTGACTGCAGTCAGTGTTTTAGTTGACTGTAATGAATTAGTTTTTTTCTGTGGGTAGAATGCTGGTTTGTTAGATCTCTCAGCTGCTTCTTCAGACAGAGTTTATCCTGACCTGATACTCCAAATCACTATATCATTCTTCAGTTTATGAACTAACATTCAAACCGGAGAGACTCTGAGAATACTTTGAATTGTCTATGTTGTATGCACTGAAGTTGTGGTAACTTTTGGCTTTATTTATAAAGCTTCATTTCCATTCTAGACATTGAAATCTGAATGTTTCTTAAGGGCTACAAGTCTGAACCCAACAAATGAGGAATAACTGGTTAAATTTATAATGTATGATCATTTCTCACTCTAATATATCATAAATCCATCAAACTCACCTTAAATATGCTCAAAAGTGTCCTCGTGTAATATTGATGAATACCAAAAGAGACTCCAAGTATATGAGGCAAAAATAAAAAGCCAAATAGAAGAGTCAACCACACATTGATATGTAGGCCAAGATATCTGAAGAGCAGGTCAACAGGCAGCATGAACCAAGCCATGTGTTTCACTGCAGAAGAAGAAAAGGGGTATGAGGTGGTGGCCTTCAGCTTTAACAAAAGCTGCTTGCTCTGTTTAACGCTCATACTGTAGAGGCGGCTGAGCCATACAGCAAGAGTTAAACATGTGGATCTGGCTAAAGGAAGAACAAAATGATCACCCAGAAAAAACATAAAACAGTTAACTAAGGTATGCAAAGTCATTGTAAAATGAGTAATCGATTAAATCATCTCTGAAAGTTTTAAACTTATACCGTAACTTAATAGCCTTTTTAAAATGAGGTTTAGGCTCACAGCAAAAAAAACAAAACAAAAAAAACCCATTAAAGTCTCATTATATTTTCCGCCATTTTAGTATAATTTTGCTTCTTTATATTAGATCCATGCATAGCGAAACTAGTCTTAAAAATACAGAGTTTTGATTCAGACCCCCCCACCCCCACCCCCCTCTCTAATTTACATTTATTCAT